AACAAACTATTAGGACTTCATCAAGAAAAACAGCTTCTACACAGCAAAGGAAACAATGAACAAAACTAGAAAGCAACCTTCGGAATGGGAGAAGAAATTTGCAAATGACCTATCTGATAAAAGGTTAGTATCCAAAGTCTGTACTTATAAAACTGAACTTATAAAACTGAACACTCAAAACCAAATTATCCATTAAACAATGGACAGAGGCACGGGTAGACATTTTTCCAAAGAAGACATCCAGATGGCTAATAGATACATGAAAAGATGTTCAATATCCCTCCTCATCAGAGTTATACAAATCAAAACTACAAAGAGATACCACCTCACACTTGTCAGATGGCTAAAATTAACAATACAGGAAACAACAGGTGTTGGTGAAGATGTGGAGAAAGGGGAAATCTTCTTGCACTGTTTGTGGGAATGCAAACTAGTGCAGCCGCTCTGGAGAACGGTATGGAGGTTCCTCAAAAAGTTAAAAATAAAATTACCCTACAATCTAGCAAGCGCACTACTAAGTATTTACGCAAAGGACATAAAAATACTCAAAGAGATAACATGCACTCCAGTATTTATAGTAGCACTATCAACAAAAGCCAAATTATGGAAAGATTCCAAATATCCATCAACTGACAAATGGATAAGAAGTTGCAGTGGGTGTATACACACACACACACACACACACACACACACACACACACACACAAAGGAATATTACTCAGCCATTAAAACGAATGACATCTTCCCATTTGCAACAATTAAATTCTATGGTACATGTTTCCATTCACTATAACAGCTTTTAGGCAAATTTGGAGTATCTGTCCATCCTCTTCCCTTTGAGTTCCCCTGAAATCTTTTAGAATCTAAGTAAGATCACAGCACTTCTCTGCTTACAGTGTCCTAAGGCTTTCCATTTTTTAAGTTAAACTCAAAGTCATTACATCTTACAATGCCTTACACAACCGCTAAGTTCCCATCACTTTCACTTCCACCCGCACTGCTGCTTTATAACCACAGGTGCTTCTTTGCTCTTCTTCCAAACTCAAGTTCAGTCCCATCTTAAGACAGTGCACTTACTTTTCCCTTTACTAAGGAAACTCTTATCTCAGATATCCATCTATTCTTCCTTAATTCAAATCTCTGCTCAACTGTCACCTTATTACAGAGGACTTCACAGCCTACATGTATAAGACAGCAACCTCTGCTTACTATGATGCTGCCTTCTTTAACCTGCTTTACTTTACTTCAGAGCACATAATATACTCTGACATATTTGCCTGTTTTGTTTGTTTTCTATGGCCTCCAGTGGAATGTGGGTATGGTACTTTTCATCTCCAGCACCTGGAATGGTATGTGACACTTAGTAGGTCCTCATTAAGTATCATTGGAAGACTGAATTCCTAAAGCATTTGTACAACTTCTGTGTTGCTCATTATACTCTAATTCACACTTCAGTTCACATTCACACCTGGTTTGTTTTATATACTACAGTGACAGATCTCTGAGTAAAGAGATTATGCAAAACTCCAGTATGAGCACCTAAGAATGGAAGGGATAAACAAATGGATATTGTTGCAGAGAAACAAGACACGTTCCTAGATAAGAAAGAGTAAGTAAGCTGAGAGGAATAAAGCGTACACATTTTGAAGAACTCAAATATATACAGAGACATCTTTTGTCCACTTAGTTCATCCAGAATGTTGTGATCAATAACTTTGAAAATATATTGATATACTGAGGACCCAAGGAGACCCTTTTTCCTTTTATGTGATTCACCTTCCTCAATAGCCAGTATGCTCCATCTTTATAATTGAGTCCTATTTAATTTAGTCCAGAATACTCTGAGACCTAGTTTATAACGAATAAAATAATTGAGAAGCAAAATAGGATGAAGTAGTAATTTTTCCAAATATCTTTCTCCAGAGAAAGTTCTGCTTGTTAGTACTAGCCTATGTTGCTTTGAAGGCTTATTAAGAGAAAATGAAAGATTTGTAAATGGTTCTGTTTGTTTTAAGTAAAAGTAAGAATGCATTATTTTTATTCTCTAGGGGGAAAATATGCAGCAACTTGATTCTACTCTTTCCACTGCAGCAGCCAGAAGCAATTTCTGTATAAGCATTTCCATTCTTTTTCTCCAAGTCCTCTATTAAAGTATTTTAACAGTAAAATGTTTGCTAAAAGAAACAGGGGAGTTACATGAATATAATACCAAAGAGAGTATTTAGGTGAGTTAGGTTAAAAAGGAAATCAATATGATCTACATGACTTCTACTTTTGTGAATTTATTGAGGTTTTTTTGTTTTTTTTTTTTTTTGGTGACCTAATAAATAACCAGTTGTACAAGTTTTATGGCAATACACAAAAAGTATTCTCTATTGTCAGAGCATTGTGTTTGAGGCATGCTGAGTAGGTCAACTACTTGATTTATCATATAATGCACTCTTACATATGTTGATCTACCTCATCAATCATCAACTGACAGAGTTTATTTGAATTCACCTACAACTATTATGAATTTCCACTAACATTTTTGCTTTATGTATTTTTGTGGTATGACAGTTGGTAAATAAAGATGCTTCAAAGTTATAGCCTTGTGGATTGCATGCTTTATCATTTAAAGGGGCCGCTTTTTCTCATTTGATATTTGCTTTGAACTAAGCTCATTCACCAAGTCCACAACTTTGTCAAATATCCAAACACATCTCTTTCATCCATTAGTAACTATTTCCGTACCTGGATATTTTTTTATTCTTCTAAATTTAGTCATAGTGCTACCTAGATATACTAAAGAACTCAGAACTAAATTATAAATTTAACCACCGCCAGCACATAAAATAGTAACGAAAAAGAAAAAAAGAGGGGAATTGATTACTTCATAAATATACAAATAGCAAAAATAGAAAGGAACAAAAATACATAGTTTTTGTTAAAACTGATTCTTCAACGGATACTGAGGTCAGAGTTGGTAAGATCATAAAGTCATGTTTCTAAGATGGCAAACCTGAGTGATACAAATCTTTCTTCCTGTGGGAGGCTGAGCTTTGGTGGTGGTGGTTATTATTATTATTGCCACTGGTTTGTTTGAAACCTCCATGAACATTTTCAACTGGATGTGTAAGTATTAAGAGGCATCCTGAGATTTCCTTGAGTTTCAGGCATATTTCTCTTTTCCTCTACTGTGTAATAACATCAATCATATTCACTGTGGGATCAGTCACCACAGTTTATCAACTCCCTTCTTACTAATGCTTCAAGGTTAGGAGAAGCCCCAAAAGCCAACAGACAGCATGAGCAGTGAGGTCAACTGAACCATTATTTTGCACCTTGGGAAAGCGTTCTTGCCTTGGAAACCAAAAATTCTAAATTATCAAAAGCATAGACATAAAGAATGAAAGCAAAATCTTTACAAGAGAGTGAAATAATGAACAGTACCATGGCTATATTCTGGCTCTGGGGCAAAAGAAAACAATCAGATATTGGCTACCGGTTCAAAGTAGACAGAGCACCCTGTGGGACAGCACCTCAAATTTGAAAGTTGTTGTCCTATTGAAGTAATTTATTGACCAGTGCACCATTTTGTAATCAATTATTTAAGCATCAGCATGGTTTCTCACTTTTTCACCATAAAATGGTTTCTTCCTTAAAAGCAAGGTATAAGGGATACAATAATGGAGAATAAGGCATTTATAATTGCCTAAGAAAGACAAATCTGTATCTGGAATAAATGTTTATTCCTGAGGGGAATTTCTGTCCCACCCATGCTGGCATGGTTGGTTGTTGGGTCCTACCCTCCCTAACATAAGGGAAAAGAGTCAGTTTTTGTCTCTGCTGTTAGCAGATGAGGCACTTAGCAGTGGGGTTAGCCAGGTGAACTTTGCTGAGGGAAAGCCAAAGTTGTTAAGAATCATACAAATCCCATCTTCACCACCGCGGCCACTTACTAACCCAACAAGCAAACATGGCACTGAGATAACTGGAAAGAATCCCAAAGACATCACCAAAAAAAAAAAAAAAAAAAGTCATGTTGTCCACCTGATTATTGAAAGCCTTTTCTGCAAAGAGTGACCTTGATGACTATTCAGATAGGACACAGGTATTCTACTCTGGGCCCCTTCTGAGACTAAGAGTGCGCTCAAATCATGTTCCTAGTCCTCAAATACTTCTTCCAATTATCTGACAATTCCATCAAGACATCAGCCACTGTTCATGCATCAGTGTACATTCATACTTTTTGCCATCTTTTTCCAAGCCCTCCGGATATATCATATTAAGACCTAGCCAAAGGACACTATCGCTTCCTTATTACAGCCCAAGGACACCCCGGAGGTAGCGCAGAAGTTCATCACTGAGTAGTACCATCATACTGTGCATACATACCTGCAAATCGGGTTTAACTGTTTACTTCCTCAGTCAACTCTGTCTCCGGGAATTTGACATGTGGTCATATATACAGGCTGCCCAGAAGTAGGTGCCCCAAATCCAACAGCACGCATGTGGGTAGAATGCAACCTTTCACCAGGCCTGGGCCTACGAGCCCTCCAAGGCTGCGGGCCGGGGTCTGTCCAAACCACCAGATTACTGTTTTGGGTGAGGGGTCTCCCTCGCAATATGATCTGGATACTGGGGACTGCAAAAAGAGGGCAGTTAATCTTCATTTGGTCTCGCCACTTGGCCGGTCACGGGCTTCTCCACGCACCAGGACCGCCAGGTGTCTCTCATTCTATGACCCGTAGTCCTCGCCAGGGAAGCCTGCTGTGTTCCTGTATCTGGCTTCAAAAAGAATAAAAGTCTCTGTGCAGGTGCGGGCGGAGACCATGGCAGATGCCTGGTTTACCCCCAAGAGTTCCCGAGTGGAATCTGGAATCTGGTCCCTCCTGAACTGGACCACGCGACTGGGTTCCACCTCCTCTCGCTCAGAAGAGGCGCTACCCGCCCGGCTGCGCGGGATCGTGTGCGCACTAGCAAGCGCAACCGCACTCCGATGGCCCCGCCCCCTAGCAACCTCGCCAGCAACCAGGTTCGCAAAGGTCTCTTCAGGGAGATTGCCAGCCAGGCCCTTCCCGTTGCACCCTGACAAAACTTTTGAATTCCCCCCGACTCTGCCTTCATGGGGAACACATGGCATTAGGTAGGGTAGGGGTTGGAATCAGGTAATTGCCTCGGGTACCTCATAAACTCCTCCAGTGTTTGAGGTTCGGGCTCTTCTCTACACTTCAACTGTTCCAAATTTCAGCTTCCCTAAGCTTCGAGGCATGGGCACGCGCAGAACGAACTTTTCCCCTAGGCCTTGGGCTTCGAAGCTAAACAGGCCTGTGGGGTCTTGGTGTGTCCAAATCTCCTGTATACTGTCCTCGGTGACGGGGGCGGGGGGTGGGGGGGCGGTCCGCTGGAGTACGATCTGAAATGGGGACTACGAAGGTGGAGACAGGCAGTCTGCTTTGCAATCTTTATGCAAACTACACAAAAGATATAAAATAAGACAGGTACAAGCATCTGAGACACCAGTAAGGGCTGTAAAAATGGGAATGCCTAGGCTAGTGACATTTGTCCGTCTGATTACATGTGTTTACAGGGTGATAAGAAAATATAGGAGGTAGTGTCACGTAGTGGTTAGGATTGTGAGCTCTGGAGACAGAGAATACCAATCCAACCACTTCACAACTGAGTGATGGGTCAGCTACTTTTTGGGGCCTCATATTTAACTATAAAAACGGGGATGCTCAAGGTATGTACCTCATAAGGTTGTGGCAAGGCTTAAGTAACATAATATATAAAAAACATTTAGAACAGGACACAGCACATGAAAGAACAGAGTTATGTTAGCTATCAAGATTTAAATTATAAAAAGAACCTTCCTTGGGATGCATGAAAATAAAAAAAAAAATACAAAATACAATGTAGGATGCAGATGATCTGGGGGAAACAGAGAAGTAATAGATAGTAAAGTTGAAAAAACTGTACAAAAACCATATGAAAAGTATTAAACAGTTTATATGGAGGCAAGAATAAAAGGGCTCCAGTTGAGAGATAATCTCATTGGAGGACAGCACAAGAGGAAAAAAAGTGTGTGAAGGAAGGGAACACCATCCCAAAAATTCAATGGAGGGAAAGCACAAAATAGCAATAATTTTGATAGAAAGAGAAAGCACTCAAGAAAGTAAGAGGGATGAGGAAGAAACAGGAGAATTCAGAGGACAGTTTAAAGGGTGAGAAGAAGTAGGTGGCATCTACATTCAGTTGAAAGTTGGAGTGATGGGGATGGACGTGTTGTTAAATTGGATGTTGGGGCAGCTGGGTGGATCAGTCGGTTAAGCATAGTACTCTAGATTTCTGCTCAGGTCACGATCTCATGGTTTGTGCGTTCAAACCCCACATCCAGCTCTGGGCTGACAGCACAGCCTGCTGGGATTCTATGCCTCCTGTCTCCCTTTCTCTCTGCCCCTCCTCAGCTCATTCCCTCTCTCTCTCAAAAATAAATAAATAAACTTAACCAAAAAAAGCAAATTGGATGTTGATCACAGGAGCAGATACAAAAAGGCTATATTCTAGAAATGATTAGAATTAAAATACACCTCACCAGGACAGGGATGAATTAATTACTTCAGTAAACTTTTATTGATTACCTACTGTGTGCTAGGTCCTACGCTAAATCCCAAGACTAAAGATAAAAAATAAAACACGATCCTGCTTTCCAGAGTTCAAAGTGTAGTAAAGGAAAGACGAGAAAAGCAACCAATTATTGTGCAGAAGGAATAAGTAATTGTAGAGTTAAAAATGTGTTTTTTTAAGAGAATAAAGAAACACTATAAAGGAAGGAAATGTGGTTGGACTGGAAAGACTGAATATAGCTTCCAAGAGGCTATTTTCCTCATTCATTTATTCATTCATTCAATGTTTAACAATCCCATGCAATGCTTCCTGATAGCATCTCAAAGAATGAATAATGACTGGTCAAGAAGACAAAGCAGAAAAGAAAGGATGGGAGGGAGTCACTTGGTATATAGCTGGAATACAGTATAGACATATTATACTCTCCGCTCACTTCCTTAAAGATAAAAGGAATTGCTTGAGGAAAAAATGATGGAAAAGGAGAATTACATACACAATAAAGCAGGAATTACATTGCCCTTACATTCACATGAAATATAATCGAGAACTTGGAAAATAATGGAGCGCTATATTTGCTGTATATTCTCCCTTTGCCTCTCTGGAACTCCACTCTTCTCTCCAGGTTCTTTTACCTAAAAGGTGGTTTTTATGCACTGCATCAACTATTACTATTTGTCCTCTGGCCTCCGGAAGGTTTCAGCCAATAGTAATGAGTAGTATCAGGAAATGAAGATGGGGTTATTTATTCCCCCAGTGTCCTCTATGCCAGGCCCTGCTTTGACATTAACTATGTTCTTCTACCTAAGACCACAGCTGCCTGTCACCAGTTCTCTCCCTGAGGATAATACATTTTTTAGAAAAACTGATAAGAGAAGTCGCAAGGACTTTAAATGAAAAGTGGCACCATTCCCTCTGCCCCACTGCACAATATATTGCAATTTAGAACATTCCAACACAAGGTCGCAGTACCTTGAATCTCCATCCTCCTTGAGGAGGACTTAAAGGAAGGCACTTGCATAGGCATATCAAATCTGGAGAACTTGAACATCTTGAAATAAATCCCTTAATATTTACCATGTGTTCATCCTCTTTTAAACTCTTAATATGATACCCATAGTTCATAAATCCAATTTGAAGACTGCTTTCTAGCTATATTAAGTACTTATGGTTTATGAACATTATCATTCCTTTCCTATAGCGCTATAAAAGTGTTAGCTGTTCTTCCTTCTTTAAAACCAGTTATTTCATCCTTTACAGAAAGATGGTAATTCCTGTTTCCTTCATCTCTAGTGGGCTTCCCTCACCAATGTCCAAACCTAGTAAATATTCCCTTCCTTAAAAGTTTTTTCATATCTGCATTTTGAGTATGCAATCTCTTTCCTGACAGAAACATGACTAACAGAGGTAATGTAATGAAGTTTTTTGAATCATGTTTTCAAGCTTCTTTGCACCATTAACTGACCCCATGATGCAGGTAGCAGGATAGTTTCACATATACATTGGTTAATGTGGAAGGCAAACATAGGTAGAAAAAAGAAGTTAATTAAGCTCTTAGCAGATATGATCATCTTAAAAACTGCAACTCTTAATTTCAAGAGCTAGAGAAAAAACTTTCTTGAATTCTCAATGATTGACTCCTCATATTGAGAACCAAAGCCAAGAGAACGAATATAAATATTGGTTAGTAACATAAACCGTGAAATAGGAACAGATTCAAGATTATAATATAAGAACAGGTTTTTTTTTGCCAATGTGGAGCAGGGACACTTTTTGAATTATAAAAGGAGGTGGTGGTATTTTGGGGAGAAATGTCTGAAAAAAGTGGGGAAAAAAGTATAGATGCAAATGTGAAATCCTGTCTTCTGTTCTCCATTGGATTGAGATCCTCAGGATCAAGCTGAAAGGAATTCCACATAGGCCTGGGTGAATCTGAAAATAGACAGACCTCATCTTGTGTACTCTAAGGCTATCTTGTGCCTCAGAGGAGTGCGCATCTAAATAGTATGAAGGCAAGGTCTGAGTGAGTGACTTAGGTGACTGGTCCAGAGGGCAGATTCTTGGAGTCCTTTATACCCCACAGCAATGATGGGAACCATTAGACAAGAGCCCCAACAGGAAAAGAAGTATGACTAATAGAGAAGAAGGAAGGCAAAGAAGGTACAAATTACAGGGCTATCATTAGTATTATCTGGTAGCTCAGGATGATAGGGATCAGGTGTGAGGCTCCTCCTCAAGAAGAGGAGCAAAGGGTATGATCACGTGATAACTATCCCTTAGTGCCATGATGGCAAATAGCACATCAGACGCTAGGTATATTACCAAGAAGTAAGAATGAGAAAGAGGAGGTGGGGACCTGGATTGGACTGGATATTTACTCAAAGTGATTGAATTCTGAAGCAGACATGACTGTGTTACTAGAATTGCCATAAGTGTTCTACCATCAATAGAAATAGTACTGCTTGATCTTTCTAATTGATTTATATAGAAATACTTTCATTTCATATTTCTAAATATTGTGGATTGTCATAACTGGCAAAGACATAGTGATGGACAGAATTCCAGAACAAAGCAAGCCCTTTATAGGTAAACAGAACCATATTAGCATTCATACTCAGAGAAAGGTGACTACTCTGGGTACAGGTAGGTGTACAGGGGACGCTGGAGAAACTACATGAAGAAGCGGAAATCATCTAGGTTCTTGAGAATGGGATGGATTGCAACTAGAAGAGAGTTAACTATAAGAACAAACAACTGGGTCATTAATTCTCCTCCATCCTTTAATTTTGTCCAGAAAACGTCAAGGGAGGGACTGCTGAACAGAAAGAAATCACATTGTGCATCATCATCAAGGTAATTGGATTCTGCAGCCCATGTAAGTTGAATCCAAAGGTGAAGTACAAGCATCTAAAATTTCTGCCAATCCTGTCCCTACACAAATAATGAATATATCAAAGAGATGGCACCTCAGGGAATTGTGACTTGAGTTAATTATGGTGAATTGAATCTATTTACAGCTTCAGCCTAGTTCCAGCTCAACGTATCCTGGGAGGAATCTGCATAAACAGCCCTGAACCACACTGCTAGACACAAGAAAGGGCTTGCACCCTCTGAGGACTAAACAAAACATATACATTCAGTCTCCAATATTCTTTTACACATAATTCTCAGAATACAATAAAATATATTAAAAACATATAAAGAAAGTGAAAAGTGTGACTCAGAATCAAGAGAAAGAGTCAACAGAAGCAGACTTGCAAAAAGGCAAGTTACTGACGTTAGCAGGCAAGGACTTTAATACAATTATTAACAATATGTTAAATAATTTAAAGGAAACCACAGATGCAATTTGTGAAGGGATGGGACACTTTAAGAAAAAAAAATACTAACTCTAAAGTAGAACTAGGTAGACCTTTTCGATCTTAAAACTCAATAACTGAAATAAAAATGTTAATGGATTGTTTTTCTTGCAATGCCCAATCTGTTTTTAAGTCATGATCCAGTGATAGCTCAGTAAAGTGAAATTAAAACCAAAATAAAATATCAGAAAAACTAAGTTAGAAAGACTTATATGTCCTAGAGTCATCGTAAAGAAAAACAGTTCTCATACATAGCTGGTAGGAGGAAGTATAACTGAAATAGTAAATCACTCTGAACAGCCCTTTGCACATACAAATAAGATTAAACATACACCTATTCTATGCTCTAGCAATGTTTTTCTTTGGATTACGTGTCGAGAGGAAACAAGGGCACATACATACAAAAAGGATTTATTGACGATAGCCCCAAACTGAAAACAACTCAAACATCCACCCATAGTATAACTGACGAAGAGTTGTGATATACTCAGACAATAGAATACAGCAAAGAAAAAGAAAATTACTGCTACATATAACTACTTGGATAAATCACAAAAGCATTATACTGAGCAAAAGGAACAGGACTCGAAGATGTACCTATTGTATGCTTGTTTATATGAAATTCAGAAAGGGGACAAAACTAATTTATGGTGGCAGAGTTTACGATAGTTACATCTGGGTGCATGGCTACTTGTTTACTAAAAAGCATTAGGGGAAAACTGCTGGGGAAAAGGGATATGGTTTGATCTGGGTGGAATTAATATGTGTACATACAAAAATTCATCAAGTTGTACTAAGATTTGTGCATTTTATTGAATTCACATTATATTGCAATAAATAAAAGGAGGACACACTTTAGGATCAACTATTACAGCAAAAGGAGACATTTGAAAATTTCAGGATTACACAGCTAAATAAAAAAATAAAATAGCAAAATAATAAATATGATATGCTTAGAAATTATCAGAATGTAGGACAATATCTATTAAGTGGCTACTGGTACCATATTTTGGGGGGGTCTCTTATTTGAAATAATTTACACACTTTAAAATCTTGGTGTCTGTGTTAGAGTCCCTCATCTTCCATCTCCTGGCCAAGGGACCCGGGCCCAGTAACTTAATCTCTGTGTTTCTGTGCCCTCATTTGCAAAATAAGACAATCATGATACCTACCTTGTAATGTTATTATAGAACAAAATGGGGAAATGTCTGTAATTAGTAAAGTCCTAGAAAATGAGTAGATATCAGTAAACTTATCATTTTTATTATTATTTTCTGTGTTATCTAAACCTGTATCCTTTTCAGATATAAATATCCGTTAAGAATAACCCGTGTACCTGTTTCAAAGAAGGTTATAAATCCGGATAAAGAATTCCTTCATAATAAAATATTTCTGAGGATTTACTCTAAAAAGCAAGAAGAGGTATGTAGGGAGGCAAACTCTTTCAGATAGAAGGGTCTGGGGAAGGGAGAGCACTTTATACACACATATGCATGCATGGAGAGACCATTTTATAAACAATATGTTGAAAATTTTCACAAAATTGAAGATAAAGGTCATAGATTTTAACATTTGGTTATGAAAAATAATTCCAAATGCATGTTTATTCTTGTCATTATCTAGCCCTTGTTTACAGAATAAATTCCAAAGTCCTTTGTATGACAGTAAAGGTCTTTATTTTGCCTCTTGTGGAGAAGACAATCCCCACCTGCTCTCCCTTGTCCACAAGGGAAATTTGCAGACTCTGTTGAATCTCCACTGCATTCCTCTACCATGGCATTCCATGCATTTTGCAATGGCTCCTTGATCTTCTTCCTTTTTTGCTAGACTATGACTTCCTAAGGGCAAAAGTTTTATTTTCATCAACGTTGTATGACCAGAAATTAGCGCCATGGTCATACAGAGAGGAATATAGTGGGCACACCAGAACTATTTACAGTCTACATAACTAATAGTCTAGAATTGATAAGAGAACATGGGAAGGGGAAAGCCAGAGAACACACACAGCTATCTAAAATTATCCTTTACGTCAGTCTGTAATATGAAGAGCAGGAGAGCCAGCATCTGCCTAAGGGGAGAATGCTGAGAAACAAAGATAAAAATAAACACTTTTTTTTTATTTATCACTTTCAGAGCAAGAGCAGTTATTTGGAGCCAAAGTCATCAACATTGACTTAAGGGGAAAAATAAGGTGATGATGATGACAATTTACTACAATGGAAAAAAAGAAAGGAAATAATTTTGAAAATCCTAATATTGAAAATTAAAACAGTTTCCATGAATATTGAAATGCATATACATCAGAACTGTTCTGAATGATAAAAAAACAAAAACAAAACCCCAAACACTGAGTATGGAAGAGGGTGACAGATTACAAGGAAACAAACCACTAGATTTATAAAGCCCACGTATGTATATTGGAGTATAAGTGATATTGTTCCGTTGTAGGACAGTTTTAAACATGTAATTTATCTATCACTCTTTTATATAAAAGAGAGTTCTACTTTATTTTTCAGGTTATCTTATGAACTACTGATAAACAGAAATGCTGGATTTACCTGTGAAAGTACCACATTCTTCAGAGCACTTGAAAATGGTTGAAAGACAAAGCCACCAAGTCAACGTGCTCTTCTGAGATTTAGGTTTCCTATGTCTAACACTTTTGTCTAATCACAACTCTTGATTGACACATTCTCTCATCATGGCATTTGCAGCCTGCTAGAAGTCCTTTGTCTCTGTGAGAGACTGACAGGCAATGTTAAAAAAAAAAAAAAAAAAGTGTTTTGTGAAGTGCTTTTTAAACCTGTTTTCGATGAATATACCTGCCTTCTTGAGAAAAAAGAAAGTTCAACTCTTGATCCTTTTCTTTACGGTTTAGTACATCGTTATGTTTGTTTCAATTTGTCTGATAGTATTGAGACTGAAATTTCAAGCTTGGAAGATAGTTGGTGGTTCTTTCCCTAGCATTAATTTCCAGTTTTTAGGGGAGGGAGAAGATGAAATAAATTTCTAAGCATACTGAGTGTATCTTAGATTTAAAAGGGCCACATGTTCTTTTTTTTTTTTAGTTTGATTTTAATTTTTTTTTTTTTACAAATAGTTTATTGTCAAATTAGTTTCCACATAACACCCAGTGCTCATCACATGTTCTTTATAATTATTTCCAATGACAGGCAGAATGGAATCTTCCCTCCTGAGTGACTTGCTTGATGAATAAACAGAATGTGACAGATTTCTTTTTTTTTTACGTTTATTTACTTATTTTGAAAGAGAGAGAGAGAAAGAGCGAGGCTGAGTGGGGGAGGGACATAGAGAGAGGGAGACAATCCCAAGCAGGCTCTGAGCTGCCAGCACAGAGCCCGATGCGAGGCTCAAAGCTAGGAACCGTGAGATCATGACCTGCGCCCCAATCAAGAGTGGGATGTTTAACCAACTGAGCCACACAGACTCTCTCTTGGTCTCCTGAGACACTTGTTCTTGGTCCCCCAAGCTGCCTCATAAGAAGCTAACTCTCCTGGGGCAACCATGCTTTATGAAGCCCTAGTCACATGAAGAGTGCTCTGGAGGATGGGCCACCATGTGGAGAGACAGCCGCGAGCAGCACAGCTCCAGATATGGCAATGAAGACACCATCTTGGACGTGGACCCTCCAGCCCCAGCCATCCCAGTGGATTCCATGGGAATCTGCTGAGCCCTTCCTGTATTCCTGACCCACAACATTATGGGCAATAAAAAATGTTTGCTTTAAGCCACTAAAGGTTTTGGAAGTAGCTGAGTATGTAATAAGAGTTAACCAGAATAAATGGGAATCTACTGAAAACTTTTTAAAACAGATTTTTAATGTTTTATTTATTTCTGAGAGAGAGAGAGAGAGAGAGAGAGAGAGCAGGGAAGGGTCAGAGAGACAGGGAGACACAGAATCTGAAATAGGCTCCAGGCTCTGAGCTGTCAGCACAGAGCCCAACACAGGGCTCAAACCCACAAACCGTGAGATCATGACCTGAGCCGAAGTCAGACGCTTAACCAACTGAGCCACCCAGGTGCCCCTCTACTGAAAACTTCTTAAGACAGATTAGTTGCATCAATCTTCTCTTCTATTTGAGCTTCAGTAGAGCATTTGGATAAATAATAAAATAATTATTAAATTATAAAGGCTGGAAAAGTTATCAAATTTGCACGTAATAAGTTCACTCAGAGAATGTTAAACTACAATACACCTTTTGATTACAGAAATAATAGTAGTAACAAAAAATGATAGTCTTCACACCTGTCCTTAATTTTCAACTAAGCAGTGATAATTTTAGGTAGTGCTTCTACCACCTAAAAATTTCTGCAGAATAGTGTGTGCCTTTTTGACCTGGTTTAGAATTGATGAGGGAAGAGGATGTCAAGTTCATAAAAACGACAAATGCTTCTGTCATTAGCAGATGCATTAATCTCTGTGAGGACAAAATATTTTATTTGAAAGATAAGTTAAATAAAATTCTAATGCTGAAATTCTATTCCAGTTGAAAATAACCCTTTATACCTCAACTTTAATTTGGGGGGGGGGAAACAGTTTTGTTTTGCTTTACTCATAAGTGTAGACACTTAAAACATAAAATAGTCACATTTCCACCTAAACAATTAAATTCCAATGAATGGTCCCAGATCTCCAAGTAAATTGTGACAGAGGAAACACCTGTTACATGGAAGCAGTATTTTTTCAGGAGAAAGTTTCTAAGTTTTCTAGGCAAAAACATTAAGTCATTCTTGATTTTTACCCCTTAAAAAGTACTTTATTGCTTCTTTTAGTTTTCTGAATCAATATAAAAGTGAGCCTTCAAAAATCTAACTTCATGAGTTATTGACAGGTAAGAGGATGAGAAGATGAGAAGGTCACTCATCCTGATCTCTAAGGACTAAAGGAAGTTGCAGCATTTATTTTTTATTTATTTATTTTTTTTAATTTCTAGGAGAGAGAGAGAGAGACAGCGTGAGCAGGGGAGGGTCAGAGAGAGAGGGAGTCACAGACTGAATCAGGCTCCAGGCTCTGAGCTGGCAGTCAGCACAGAGCCCGACGCGGGGCTCGAACCCACGAACCGCAAGATCATGACCTAAGCGAAAGTCGGACGCTTAACCGACTAAGCCACCCAGGAGCCCCAGGAAGTTGCAGCATTTAAAAAAAAAAAAAATTAACATTTTTTTTTTGAGACAGAGAGAGACAGAGCACGAGCAGGGGAGGAGCAGAGAGAGACGGAGACACAGAATCTGAAGCAGACTTCAGGCTCTGAGCTGGCTGTCAGCGCAGAGCCCGATGCGGGGCTCAAACCCATGAACCACAAGATCATGACCTGAGCCGAAGTCAGATGCTTAACCGACTGAGCCACCCAGGCGCCCCGCAGCATTTTGTTTTTAAGGTTTTTTTTTTTTTGAGAGAGAGGGGAGGCAGAGAGAAAGGGAGACACAGAATCCAAAGCAGACTCCAGGCTTCTAGCTGTCAGCACACAGCCCCATGTGTGGCCCCAACCCACGTACTGCAAGATCATGACCTGAGCCGAAGTTGAACACTTAACGGACTGAGCCACCCAGGCGCCCCGAGAAGACGAGGCATTTTGAAACAGGAACTGAGACCAAGTATAGTTACTTCGCAACCCCCCAAAAACGAGGTTATGGTACCAGACCCTGCCTGTCACTGTCACATCACTAAAAGGCCATCTTACAAGTGAGTACACTGAGTTTCAGGAGACATTGTTCCCTGACTCCTGTCATGTTTCTTTATGGTCAGAGCTTTCCAAGCAGACCTCGCCAGCAACTGGGGTTAAGATGAAAGAATGGCACACACACCATGGAAGCTAAATTGAGACACATCAGAGAGAAAGGTTTACAGATTTAGTGCCCCTGGAACAAGAGTTTAGGTTTCAAGGGCAATGGTTTTGACGCCCTTGCGCCCCTCTGCTCAGGGACGATTTGTTCATATTAGAAAGCTAACGTCTCTCCTTCTGAGTGGAGGATGGTCAACTCTGCCAGGCACTCTATGAAAGCTCCAAGATTCACAATTTGAGAGTTCGTCTCCTGTGATCTGAGTCTCCACTCCTAATACACCAGGTCCATCTGGCTTTCGTGGCACCACCCTGTTGGCAGCTGGGGTACAGGAAACCAAAGCACGATGTTCCAGAAGGAAACAATCAGACTGTTCTCTAAAACAGAAACTTCACCTCTTCTATCAGCACAAAATAAATATAGGTATAAAAGCTTAATGGGATTGGGGTCTATAAGGGTCAAGTCTCCATCCTTGTGGTGAACGTTATATTGTTTGGGGCTTGGAGTCCCTGAGTCTGCTTAATCAGGTTTCTATTCTTATGCTTTTTCTATAATTTCCACAAAATAAAATACATTGATAAAGGCATTGGTATTTGTTGGAAAATATCATTAAAGATAAAACTTAAGCATTTTAGGGGCACCTGGGCGGTTCAGTCAGTTAAGCATCCGACTACAGCTCCGGTCATGATCTCATAGCTCGTGAGTTCAAGCCCCGTGTCGGGCTCCGTGCTGACAGCTCAGAGCCTGAAGCCTCCTTCCAATTCTAGGTGTCCCTCTTTCTCTCTGCCCTTCTCCCACTTGTGATCGCTCTCAAAAATAAATAAAACATAAAAACGTTTTTAAAAAACTTAAGCATTTAAAAAATAGAATCGTATACAGATTTTAGCTAGACTCCCATACTCTGCAGGACCAGAACTTGGCTACAAGGGCAGAAATGGTCACCAGTGAAGTGGAAAATTATTTCTCCCACTTACATGAAATGGAGAATGGGGATGAGGTACAGGCTTTGACAATTTCACATCTCTAACCTTGGCACAGAGCCTTGTATTAGCTAGTTTTAGTAAACTCGAATAGAGGTTTACTACAGACCACCTCCCCCCAAACTTCATAGATTCAATGTAAGGATGAAGTCAATATCAAATAATCTGTAATCTAACCACATTTAACACATCCCTCATAAAGTCGTGTTGTCATGATAGAAGAATAATGTTGTGCATGCAAGCTAGAATAGGGGCAAGAACAAGAGGCTTTTCTTACAGTACCTCCATCATTTTAGGGAGACTGGCAGACTAGACTTTTCTAGCTGCATGGTAATTACCTGCCTACAGTTAAGAAGCCAGAGCTGGTCTGGATTTAGTAAAGGTCAAGATGAAAGTCATGCTTCAAACAGTTTGTTTTCTCTATAACCCAATTCTCTCTCATTTATACTTACCTGTGTGATGGATATGACATATCAATTAGCAATTAGTCATTAGCCGTGGCTAGTCACTTTCCCAATAATGTAGAAGTTGCTGCTTCATGTACTGCTTTTTCAGTTTAGCTGCCAAGCACACATCTGATTGCAAAGTTCAAACAGTTGAGTTAAAATAGACTGTGTAACTGGAGTGAGTTCAAAGCACTGAAAACTTCCGATCATTTTTCTCTTTGTCTTTTTAGCCTAATCATTAGTCACCGATGCAAATTCACAAGCGTGAAGTTTTTTAATGATTGTTTTTGCATAGAATGCAAGATTTTAGTTTCCCTTAGTTGATACTTTAAAAATATAATTTAATAAGCTCTGAAGATTGAAATAGTCCAAAATATTTTGCCCTCTAAAAAATGGCTGTACATGCACTGTGATACTTGACTTTATTCTAACAGCACTGTAACTGAAGTAGGAATATAGCAACATGCATTGGAAGGGTGATTAGTACTCTATCTGAGATAAAGAATTATGATCCAGAGAGGCTCTTGCCTTACTCCTTTGACCCTCAGACCCTCAGAGCTTGACGGCAATATGGCTTAAGTTTATCATCCGTTTTCATGAACTCCAAACCTGTACTT